TATTATGAGCCTGCATTGTTTGTTCACAAAATTTTCGACAGCATTGCTTGTAGTGATGTGGCGAAAAACGCCGAATTTTGGGCCTTCCATTAACCATTTCTCTTTTTTTGTGGCCCAATTTGGGCTGCTGATCCCCCAACATCAGCGCTCAGATTCAGCCACAAGAATTGCTGCCCATGGTAGTCTACGACCCTCCCGCCAACGCCACCTGGCCCAGCCAGTCGCCGGTGTCGTTGCAGCACTGCCATCAGAGTGCGACCCACCTCCATCGTCATTGCATCATTGCCATCACTCCCTGCCCTAAATTGCAAGCTGGGTCACCAGCGACGACGGCATCGCCCACTGATACAGCACCCCGGCATATCTCAGTAAGCTTCTTCTTCTTCTCTTCTTCTACTACTACCACCTCTCATCTCATCTGATGCATGCTCATCTGAAGATGAGCGGTGCACATTTCCAAGGAACGCCAGTGTGTTGAACAGGACTCAAAACAAAACGATATAATGCAATGTAGCGCAGCGGAAGACTCAAATATATAACCTGACACATCAGATCCAGACTCGACTCACACAATCATCATCACACATGTCACACAGCAAGGAGGGGAATCATACACGGAAGAAATGCCCCTCCTTGTGCACACACATGGGGAAGAAACCACGGATGATGAAGGGGGAAGGAGAGACAAAGATGGAGAGGGGACAGAAGACAAGAGTAGAACTCGTAGTCGTCCAAGACATAGTCTCCCCGTCAAATGTCCAACCAACGTCTGTCCTCAAAAATGTCAAATCAGAAACTGGGCGCACATGGGCCCGAAATCGTCACTGCCTGAAATCTCTCTCTCCCTCTCTCTGAAGAGGAAGAAGAAAAGAGGGAGGAGGAGAAGAAGAAGAAGAATAGTGGCTATGGAGGAGTGGAGAAGAATCAGGAGAAGAAGGAGAAGACGAAGAACTCGCCTCTCTTGAGCGCTTCTGATGACGATGCCACAAATACTGACCAGCGAAGGTGACGACTCCCGATGCAGGTCGCTGCTGAAGGCTGGTCCCATGACCGGTATGAAGTCCCAGCTATGGCGCCCAGGTAAGTGTTATGATTCTGGTTGTTTGTTGTCTGAAGACCAACAATCGCTCACATAGACTTCCAAGTATGCCCACACATACACAGAATGAAGGGGGACAGGATAGGAGTATCACACCGCACAGGGAGAGATAAACACAGCGGAAGACTTGACCATGCGATATGACAGGGTACACTGAAAGTGCAATTCACTCCGCTCAATCCTCCCAACCAGTCATAAAGGAAAGCCGAGTAGATCACATCCAAGAAACAATGAAGCAATGATAGTCTGAACCCAGTATCAACACTGTTCATTAAACTCAGAGTCTCGAATAGTCAGAAGAACCTCAAAACTACAGTGCGCTGCTCAGAAATGAGCAGCGCTTCACTCCCCAACCTTGAGAAACCACCCGTAACACCCCTGAGCCCCTAAAACATCCAGCGCCATCCAAGTACTGCCTCCACAGGGCAGCGCCACCCTGGAACAGGCCTCTGAGGCCAAGCGCCACACAGAGGATGAAGATGAAGACCAGCGCCATAGTATCTGATGATCACGAAGTGTCAGATGACTTCCCGGATGGAAGTCTGCAGCAGCGCCACCACTCCTAACAAGATGATCTCTGAGCAAGCTGCAGCTATGGCTGCAGCGCCACAACCCTGAAAACCCCACTCCGGAGGAGGGCTCCGCAGGGCACCAACTTCTCTCGCCTCCAGCAGACTTCAATAACCCAGACCTCTGTACAGCCCCACGTGCTGACAGAGTACAGCGCTGGACCCAGCTATGGCGGGCGCTCCGAAGGTCTGGCTATGTCCGTCTCCACCAACCCTGAGCCGTCACCACTTCCAGTTACAGCGTTGCACAGCCGCGATGTACACGGCACCAACTGCCAAAAAGCCCTGAACCGATGTGCCCAATCTATCTATAGCTACTCTAGCCTAGACTCGACCTAGACCGGACTGGTAGGACTACCGGTACCGTTTTTGTTTCGGCCTCTCGGCCTCTCCCTTACCCGGCTATAGGCTATAGGACTGTCTATCAGTATAGGCCCTTAGGGCCTATCTGTCCTAGGGGTAGACCGGGCCTGCTATTTGCAGTTAGGGTCATTGTAGGTACTTAGGGTTAGTACGGGACTGTATTTTCCCGAATTTACAGATGTCCCTCACGACATTTCCCCACAGGTCAGTCTCTCGGTTAGCCCTCAGCCAAACAAAATTACGAATCTATCCTGCAGATAGTACAGCCTCGACACGAGAGAGGCTACAGACGACCAGAGACCAGCAAGTCATTGCAGACCTACCCTCCCCCGGAGCGAGGACCTCTGAGCTAGTGGCGTAGGCGTGCAGAACGTCAAGGGGTTCTCACTTATGTGCTGCCTTGTATTTGAGGACAACGGACTTTGCGGTTTTCAGAAGTTTCTTGCGAGTAAACCAGCGATCCTCAGTATGCGGCTGGTAGGAAAACTTCAGAAGGTACTCCTTATCTGGGCCTGTACCTGACTCATCCTCAATTGATTCCACCTCATATCCTCTGCCAGGAATAGGGGGACCAAATTGAGGAGGCCTGTCTGGAAATGCATCAGCTGAGGTGAAGGGTAACAACTTAAATGCATGAAAGACAGGGTAGGTTTGTAGATGAGAGGGGCGTCCACCACATACGATGGTCCAAACGGATCAGCTCCCACTCTATCTAAGACCTGCCACGGACCCATATATCGTGGCAACAACGTAGGTGAAATGTCCTCCTCTTGTGACAACTCATAACTGAGTACCCACACCAGTCACCTGTGCGAATAGTAGAGGGACGTCTGTGCTTATTGGCCTGATGAATCATTGCCTTTTAGGCCTTTGGCAGGTTAGCATGAGCGCGCTCAATGTCCACACGGTAACGTCTGGTGAACTCTGCAGTTCCAGGCGTCAGTGTAGGGGTAGCCTTATCGATGATGTCATCGAGAGGCTGTAGTGGCTCACGACCCCAGTGCAATCGGTAGGGAGTGAAGCCAGTAGAGGAGTGTACAAACGTATTGTACACTAGCTGTGCACGACCTAGATGAAGATCCCAGTCCTGCTGGTCTGGACTGATCACAGGACGCAGCAACTGGAAGAGAATCTGGTTCATCACTTCAGCCTGACCATTGGCTTCAGGATGACGACCAAATGTCATATCCAGGCGAGAATGAAGGTAATCCCTGCAGTAGGATTGCCATTCATTGCTGCAAAATCGAGGATCTCTGTCACTGACAATAGAGGTGGGTGGTCCATGGTGTTTAACCCACCAGTCAGCAAACGCAGCCTGAACGGGTGGGACATGAGCCTCGGCTGGTAAGGGGATGAACTCTACATATTTGGACACCTGACGCATACCACGAGGTGTAGTCCTACCCAGATCAATGAAATCAATAGACACTGATTGTGCAGGTGCATCTGGTATGGGAAGTGGTTTGAGTAAGCCAAGGGGAGGTCTACATACTACCTTGTTCCTCTGGCATAACTCATAGGTTTCCACATAGTGCAACATATCACTCCTCATCTCCTTCCAGAAGAAGCGCTGCGACAGGTTTGAGAGCACCAAAGTAGCCGCGAGCATCATGACACTCTGACATCAGAAGTGTTCTCAGTTTGCGGTCTTGGGGAATGCATAGGCGTTCCTCACCTCTGCTGCAAGTATACAGCAGATCTGAAACCAGAGTATATCCTGGTTCAGCGGCAGGGTCGCCCTGAAGATTCCTCACAATAGGCCCAAAAGTCGCATCCTAGGGCAGCAAACGGGCAATGGCCTGGCGAGTCTTTTCTCCAAATGAGTGTGTGAAAGAGATCAGAAAAAGAGCGTCAGGCAAGCACAAAAGGCAAAGTAGGGTCAGATAACTTCAAAACAGGGGCACGAATCAAGGCCTCCTTTAGACGTGTGAAAGCCTCCTAACATTCTGACGTCCAAAGAAAGGAAGTGTCTTTCTTTGTGAGGTCAGTCAAGGGTGCTGCAATAGATGAGAAGTTCTGAATGAACTTCCTGTAGTAAAATGCGAGACCCAAGAAAGATCGGACATCACGAGTGTTAACAGGCTCCGGCCAGTCC